GGTGGGCTCGGTTCCCAGTAGGCAGCATGCAGGAGGCAGCCGATCAATGATTCTCTCTTATCACTGATGTTCTATCTCTCTCCCTCCCCTTTCCTCTCTGAAATCAATAAAAATAAAAATATATTTTTTAAAAAGATATGGCATTTTGTGGTTGGTGCCATTAAAATGAAAACTGTTCCATATTTAATAATTTCATGAAATTGGCATGGTCTTTAATAACTACTAGCTAAAGTCTTGTATGGTTTAAAGTTGCATATGCTATCACATTATACATTCTATATCAATTAAATTTCTTCTCTAGCAGTACAGCCATTTGATAATCTTTGCAGGATTAGGAGGTGCTACATCTGAAACGTTCCCTTTCCTGCAAATAAATAGCCTAAAAACAGCTAACAGATTGCATTTCAATTTTTATTTACTTTTTCCAATCAGGTCTTTTCACATAGAATTATTATAAATTGATTATAGACAGCTGCTGCCTGTACAGGACACCTTTCCTCAGGAAGAATTAAAGTTAGTTTTCAACATCAACTTTTTAAGTGGATTTCTTAAAATTTGATCAACCTATATATTCTTTCAGTAGAGCAATTATTTTAATTATTCCTAATGTTTTAATCACTCCTTAACTGTTTTTAAGAATCATAGCTGCCCTGGCTGGTTTGGCTCAGTGGATAGAGCGTCGGCCTGCGGGCTGAAAGGTCCCGGGGTCGATTCCGGTCAAGGGCATGTGCCTGGGTTGCGGGCACATCCCCAGTGGGGAGGGGGCAGGAGGGAGCTGGTCGGAGCTGATCGATGTTTCTCTCTCATCGATGTTTCTAACTCTCTATTCCTCTCCTTCCTCTCTGTAAAAAAATCAATAAAATATATATATATATAAAAAGAATCATAGCCTTTCATTCATTCATCAAATGTTTATTGCTCTCCTACTGTGAGGTAGGCATTGTACTTGGCACTGATAATGAAGTGAGACAATCAAAGGCCCTGCTTTTGTGACTTCAGACTGTTCTAAAGAGGAAGCAGACATGGAACAAGTGACTGTGAATGATGATGACAGCCACAAGAGGGGTCATTCTGAGTGCTTCAGAGGTGCGATGATGCGACCCAACATGGAGAGTGGGGGTGGGAAAGGCCTTCTGAGAAAATGACGTGCCAGGAGAAATGTAGGTAGGCGAAGGAGAAGACTGTTCCGGGTGGAAGAAACACAGTGTAAACCAGTGAAGGCGAGCCTTTTGAGCTCAGCGTGTCAGCATTTTGAAAAACCCTAACTTAACTCTGGTGCCGTGTCATATAGAGAAATTTTTTGATATTTGCAACCATAGTAAAACAAAGACTTATATTTTTGATATTTATTTTATATATTTAAATGCCATTTAACAAAGAAAAATCAACCAAAAAAATGAGTTTGCATGTCACCTCTGACACGCGTGTCATAGGTTCGCCATCACTGATGTAAAGGCTGTGGAGCAAGTGAGAATGGTACATACAACTGAAAAATGGGGAAAAGTCCAGTGAAGTTGGAACACAGAAAGGGGAGTGTAGTGTAAACGAGTCTAGAAAGATAAGCAAGGATTAGATCAGCCGTGGGCAAACTGTGGCCCGCAGGCCGGATCCGGCCCGTTTGAAATGAATAAAACTATTGGAAAAAAAGACTGTACCCTTTTATGTAATGATGTTTACTTTGAATTTATATTAGTTCACACAAACACTCCATCCATGCTTTTGTTCCGGCCCTCCGGTCCAGTTTAAGAACCCATTATAGCCCTCGAGTCAAAAAGTTTGCCCACCCCTGGATTAGATCATACGGGGCCTTGGAAGTCATGTTAAGAGTTACAGTTTTCTAAAATCTGTAGAAAGCCATTGAGCTTTAAACACAATGGAGGCATTACCTATAAGACGTGTGTGTTCAATATGCAGCTGTGCTGTAATCTAAATGGATTGGAGTAGAAGTGGAATGGGTGAATGTGAAGAGGGCGGTTAGGAGACTATTGTCTACGTATAAGGGAGGTGGAGAAGTGGGTACTTCTGATATTGTGGAAGCAGACTGAAGAGGTTTTGTTGATTGATTAGGCATGGAATTTGAGGAAAGAGTAGTCAGGAAGGCCTAGTTCGTTTTGCTCAGTGGATAGAGTGTCGGCCTGTGGAGTGAAGGGTCCTGGGT